CAAACCCGTCTAGCGAAGAAAGTGAGGGTGGCTGGTATTGGCGTTCTCTTCTGGTTTCTTCTTAACTGCCGTTCCATTTGGTACCTTGGCTTTAATATTTGATCAACACCATATTATTGCAGTCGCTGCCTCTAACTATCAGTTCTCTCCCTTTTTCTTTTGTTCGTAACTGATTTTCTTAGCAGCCCTTTTTATTAAAACAACAGTCTCAGCAGGATTAGCTTGTTAACTGCTTTTAACGCTACCATGAAAAGCTGAGTTGGAATGAAATGGTGCCCCGGTAGCGTAACTGGTAGCGCACTTGCCCGGAAAGCGAGAGGTGCGGGTTCTAGTCCCGCCTGGGGCGAAAGTTTTGTTCACAACCCAGCATTCTTGTGAAACAAATTCTTACCTTCGACACTAATGATGTTGAACGATGACTAACCCTTGTCAAATTTGCCAAAATTGCGACCGATTTGGGACCACAGGGACTATTTGAAGTCGATCCACGGTCCACGCAAATGCCTCCGCCGCCAATCACGCTGGCAAAGGGGCTTACGATCGGTGGCCGACACGCCCACTTCGAAGGCGTTCAACTCCCTTTCGCGGCTTTCCAAGGTGAGTTTTTTGTTCAGTCACACTTCTTATGTTCTTGACTAGGGCTAGCGCATCGTTCCACACCATTAGTGTCGAAGGTAAGAACCCTGCTGGGACTGTTGCTTTAAAAGCAACCCCGGGATTAAACTGGTGCTACGAGCGCTTCGTAGTGATAGCTTAGCTGCGGAACGACCTGAAAGTGGAAAGGAAAGCAAGAGAAATCTTTGGGAACGCTGAAATTAAGGCCTTAACCTTCAATAAGGTCGGATGTGGTACGATGGCGAGACAGGGCGATCAAAGAAGACAAAATACGCGAGAGAGCACGTCGTTTGAGAGAGCACGCTGATCTCTACATCAATGCACGCTGATCTCACCATCTCTCGCGGTGGGTGGGAAGCGTTGGAACGGGGTCGATGGTTGCAGGCCCGTAAGGATTAGCGCCCTAACCGCGCAATTTTTGCGACGAAGCTGGAGTGATCTAGGTAGGTACGGACCTTACAATTTCCCTCGCGGTATCCTTCCTACTAGTCGGGCTAATCCCGGGGTTTGCCTTTAATCAAAATCACCATCAAGCCTGATACGTCGATTCGAGCGGTGCGGCAGTGAATACATGAAAGTATCTAGGGAAAGTTTTGAGTTCGTAGAACCTCAACCACTCAGTCACCTGTCTTATTTGTGATACTTGAAATAGATAGGTAGACATGTAAGCTATAAAATCATGGCCGAACTACATAAGCAAAAAAATTAAAGATCCACGCCAAAACTGACCTGACATCATTGCAGTGATGGATAAGACCTCATTCGAACAGCTCAGTTCTGTCGACCTCATCAATATTTTAGCTGCAAACAAAGAAAATCAAACGAGCATTAATTACCCCCTTCCCAAATGACAAAAAGCTATACTAGAATGGGGTTGAAGTAAATTATTCAGGCAATTCCTTTAGGTTCGATTGATTGCAATGAAAAACTTCATAACAAGATAAAATTTTCAATTGAGCTTGACACTTATCTTTGACAAATAACTCCTCCTGAAGAAATATAAAAGTCATGCCAACAATGGATTTCCGAAAACCTACCAAGTTGTGGATCTAAAGGGAATTCTGCCATCAGCGATCCAAGCTTGGTCAGTTTTCCATCACTGTCAAGCGCACCCAGGTTCTTTAATGACTCCAGTGCTTCCTTCAATGCCTCGGGCGCTGGATGGTCCATAAAATCGAATTGTGACCTGCCACTTCGAATTTCTTGAGAAGTAGTAATACACGACTTAGATTGGTCCTGAAACCCAGTCAAATACTCTTAAACCGAAATTTCTTTCAGCAACCTTGATTCTATTATCAGAAAAAGCTTCTGCTACTGACCTCAAAATCTCCGGCCGTTCTTGTAATTTTCTATGAATTTTGTCGATTTTCACTAGCCCCGACCTTTCTTACATAAAGTTTCAATAATTCGCCACTTCCTATCGCCAGAATAATGAGACGACTTTGATATATGTGAGTTCATAAGTCCTAAACTAAACTGAAACTATCACGCAGCAAGTGTTTGAAAATTATACTGTTGTGAAATGAAATTCATAGAATGTGAACAGAATGCTTACCTACCTCTACTGTCAATACTGTTCTTTTATAAATTAACTTATCTATAAACTTTTATCTTTCAGTTATTCTAATAATTTCATCTTATTCCTCTTTCATCTTTTCCGTTCCTTTCTATTGTAACTGTCGTCAACTTGTAGCCATCTATCCTTGTCAGCGCTGTACAATAATTAAGGTATTTTTCGTTCTCCCATGGCGCTAATTAAGTAAATAGCCAGAAACAGGCCGGATTTAAAGTCACATTCCGTGACTGAACTAGGGTCGGTTGTTTAGCTTGAAAATAAAAGAAGTTGCTGACTCGACCAGCAGCTATAATGAGAAAGACTGAATAAAGTGCTCAAAACCTTTGAGATCACCGATCTATAGGCGGAGTTTGCGCCCCACATCTGCGAGACTCTCATTGGTAACCCCTTGCTGTTAATGCGTTGAATACGGTAATGTATGGCAAAGCGGGTACCCCCCAGGAGGCCCGTCGCGCGGCAAGAAGGCAAAGTCAGCGGACGAGTCGCGCGCGTACTATAGGGATTTCGCGTCAAGTTAAATAGAGTGTCCCATTGCACGTCCTACATCGCACACTCGTCCGCCGACTCTGCCTTCTTGCCGCGCGACGGGCCTCCTGGGGGTACCCCAAAGCTATAGGGTCAACTCGTAAGAGTACCGTAATGAAGCAGTGTTCCTTTGCCTAAGCAGTTTTTTTTTCATCATTGTTGGGCTAATCACTAATTTCTTTCACTTTCTGACGCAATAATCCACATTATTCAATCCTGGAATAATCCTTCAATATAAAACTAAGTTCAAGAAATGAAAAGGACCAACTTGTGGAGATTCTCCAGCTTAATTCCTTACCTTTAGTAATCCCATGAGTGCATCCGTGCATAACGTTCTTTCGTCAACCTCGTCAAGAATCACAATACCATACTCATCCAAAGATGGGCACCTCACTGCCTCACGTAATAAAGCTCCTTAAAGATAACAAGTATCCTAGGAACTTCATATATTTTCTGATTTTTCGTCAAAGCCTCGTGGTCATTTTTTTATCCTTCATGTTAATTTGAGGACTTTGCCATTTAACTTCATGTCAGCATTTCAAACCTGAGCCCTATTTTTGTGTGAAATCAATGGAAATCATGAAAAGTGGTCCGCTGTAAGTCTCTGAAGTCTAAAGAGCCTAATACCCACAACGTAAAAGAGCTAAGGGCTTTAATATGCTGTTTAGGGTGATAAGGAGTAGCAGTGAGTTGCTCTGTCCATGCCCCAGAATGCTAAAATGCGTAAACAAGTAGAAAAACATACCATCGGTACAATATTTCAGTACAGTTTTGTCACTGATGCAGTCTTCGAAACGAATGGAATAGCCGACTTCCTGACCCAACTTGAAAAATCTAGTCGATAAGCTAGGGCTTTATGGTGAAAGGAAATTAAACCACCCAACCTGCCAGATAGTCCGCGCCACCTTAGGATAAAAAGCTAGAAATTCTGAACTCACCTGGACATCCATTTCATCTGCAACACGTGCCGCGATGGTCATAGCGGCCATCCTTCTCGGCTGAGTACACGCTACGAGTCTTCGTTGGCCTGTGGCCGGCTTCTGGCGGATGTAATCGACGCACCACTGCGGTATCTGTGTGGACTTCCCGGTACCACGATCTCCGACAACAAGTACACCTGGGATAGCCAGAATTCATTCGGAAAAGGCAACTTATAGAGAGCAGACGAACCCCCGCCAATTTCATCTCCAACTAGGAAGTTGGCGGTTACTCTCAGTAGAATTTCGAAGCTGGCTTCGCTCAAACTCACATTGGTTATCGTTGAGCATTTTCATGAACGTCTCCTTGTGCTCAAAAATTGGAAGCTGGCGACGCTTCTCTAGGATCTGCCAATACTTCTCACTGTACGGCCTACCGTTGATGGGATTCATATCCATCTGAAGCACTTATTTGTGAAATATTTTGCTGAGATTCTAGAAAACGTTGACCGAAGAGCGTGAAAATCAATATGACAATTGTTCCCTAAAGCTGCCTACTCGTTAGTTCACTAGCCAAGAAGCATCATGTCGCTTTCATTGCTAGACAGGAGGGAAAACCAACGGAGTTTATGGATGGGGCTTTGGCCGTTGGTTAAGGCACTCCTTGATGGTGATCATATACTATATGGCAGAAGAAACAGGTCTTGAAAAAGGTGAGGAAATCAGTAAACTGCTT